AAGAATGTGTGCGACCTACCCCTCTGTGTTAAAAACTGAAAATAATAAGAAGGAATGATACTGTACGACAACATGAGAGTTGCACCATATATTTAACTAATTTTGTGTGTGCATCTTTTTTTAAAAAAGTAAAGATGCAGATAATCTCTCCCTAAACAACTTGAGAAATCATTTTTTTTTTTCTAATGGAAGTGTAATGGAAATCCTTTCTTTTTTTTTACTTACACCCCTAGAGGATGGACGGACCCTCCGAGGTCTTGTTTCTCTTTTTTTTGAAAGGACAAAAGAAAAATGGGGAAAGGAATTACTTTTTTTATTGTCATTATGAGCCGCTCTAATTTGTTGTTTTCCTCTGTGGACGACTTATCAGAGATTTATTTGGCTTTATAATGTGCTTCCTTTACACACGGAGGTTAGGTTGAGTGATTGTTTCGCTACAGCAGTTATAACGTATGTTCTCTTTTCTTTTTCTTTTTCTGTCCTTCTCTTTGCATTGCGATTTCACATGTGTATTTGTTCAGTTGTTGTTATTGCGTGGCTGCTGGGGGATGTTCAGTTACGCGTGGGTTTAGTTTATTGGCCTCAGTGAAGGACAAGGCACCATCACAGCGCATTGACGCTGGGGAGAGGATGGGAGAGAACACACACACATGGATGCTGCTCTCTTAACACTGCTGATCTAATGACACTTTTGAATCTCCAGCAAAATGAGAATAATCAAATGGACACATTGTACAACACATGAGACTCTTTATCCCATTCAATAGAAATGTGAACATACATTTCCTTGTGTCCCATCTAAGCTTTCCTTCTTTATCTCTGTAATATCGCGTTATGTTTATTATTTTTTTGGGAAATAGTAACCAGTCACACCTTAATGGGAGCTTCCATAGCACAAATGATACGTGACTCTTCATAGTTAGAAGAAGAGGAGAATGTATCTCTATTTAGTGCGTGAACTCATTGAGTGGTAGTGGTACAGTGATCCTACTACCCATCAATTGTAATAAAAAGTAAAAGGGGAGAAAAAAGAACAATGGAAGAACTCTTGGAATACATTTTGATAGAATGGAATGAAACAAATCTCTCTTTTTGGGGGATACATTGCAATGCTATATCTCTATGCAGAGGTGTTCTACGCCTTCTATTGATAACTACAACAGAAGTGGAAATGAATGTCTCTGTTGTGGTGAAAGGAAAAAACATTCCTACTGAAAGAGTATTAATAGGGGGCGTATACAACTCCATGTGCATGGAATTATTGCTATTCTACAGAGGGAAAAAACAACAAAAACAACTACAGGAAGTGAATCACTGAGGAGTGATACTGAATTGAGATCTATACTGAATAAACAGAGTTAAAAAGCAGTGTGTTGTACATGTTACTTTCTCTTGGAAATGTGAGTAGTGCTCTTATAGATAGTGTTCTGTGTATGTGTTGTGGGTATGGTAATTAGTACAGGAGTATTTTTGTAGCTGATGGAATATTTCATATAATCCCCTCCTCTATTATTTTATGACTCTCCTGATGTGTATTTTTTTTTCTTTTATTATGCTCTTCTACTCCTGACACGGATGAGCAAAAGGAAAAACAAATTATCGTCAAGTGGAACCCGTGGAAAAGTCAAATGCTTATTACAAGCAACTACCTCATTAATGTACTTGGAATTGCAATAATAAAAATAGTGTATCAAGTGGATTTGGTGGGTTAGGCAAGCATGAGTTACACAGTCTTTTTCTAATGCAAGGCACAGATCTAAACACATGGTATCATTCACTCTTTCCATGTGTTCTTTCTTTTTTTTTCACTTGTTTAAAGGCAGTACGGCACTCATTATTATGACTATTATTATTCTCTGCATTTTTTACAAACATCATAAAACACCAAATCTGCTCACAATGCATTCTTGTTGATACTGTTGGTATGTATGTGTACAACAAGAGGGTATATTGATATCTTTTCTCATTCTACTTTTGGCATAACTACTATTCTTCTCTTTCTAAGAGTATTACTTTTGATGTGTATAGATGTGTTTAATTATCTGCTAGATCTAATATAATGTTTCTTTATGCTTACCTTTTATTCTCTCCCTATTCCCTCCTCTCTTTTTTTTCTCTTTACTGTTTGTACCTTAGCAAAGCAACACAAAAAAAAACACACACTCACGCTATTAAGAAATGGAGAAACACTCCATGCGTCACCTCCTGTGGGCTGCACTGTTCCTGTTGTACTGCAGCTGCGGGTGTTTGGCTGCTGTTGTGCAGCAGTTACCACAGAAAGGAGAAAGTGCTCTACAGGCATATACCGTCTCTACTGCTGCTGAGCAATGGCAACCCATCCGCATTGCCGTGTATACCGAACGTGTGGAGGAAATAATGACTTATTGCAATGAGAAAGTAATGTCGTCTAAGTACGAACCGCTTCAAGACCTTAAAAACGATCTTGAACAAAGGTTTAAACAACTCTGTGACGGTGAAAATAAAATGACAACAAAGAGGATGCATACTCTTTTTAAGGAGGTCCTACCTGAAGCGATTAAATTGCACAGGGATCGCCTTAATGTGAAACGGGTGGAGAATAACCTGATACTATGGAAAGAGGATTATGAAGACCCCTATAACATATTTGTAAAGTATTGCCACCAGTTAAAAATGCCCGACGAGCATTTTAAGGATGGTATTCCCAATGCTGATTTTATGCTTTATGTGGATCTCCATCCGGTGGATAGAACTATTAATGATTGCACTAAAGACAACAAAAATGGAGACCGACCGACATCTGCCCGCATCACTTTTGTCCCAAAGGAGATCGTCGCCACAAGGCAGTATATTCGCTTAGCTGCGCGCTATATTGCGGTTGGGCTTGGATTTGAGATCTTCTACATGGGTGGGCAGAATGTGCAATATTCTCTTCTCGATTTAAACGGCGTACAGAAGTATATCAGGGTGCTGGCCGGTAATACTGTGAAGGGAAAGATGAATGAGCATTACAACTCCCAAGACTACGCGGGAATGGTTTTGCATTATCATGAGACAAAAATTTTCACTGAATGGGAGAGGCGCATCGCAAAAGATGAGTTGATGAGTCAGTACACTGGTGAACCCACTGGAATGTTTTACACTAATCTGACACTTGCAGTGTTTGATACAATGTCTTTCTACACCGCAAATTTCAGCATGGCAGAACCCATGAGTTGGGGGAATCAATCAGGACGTGACTTCATTACGAACAAGTGTACAGAACTCATCAAAGATCCGAAGTACAATAAAGTTTTCTGTGATGAAGGTGAAGATAAATCTGTATTAAAGTGCACTTCTGATCGCTTTGGTCTTGGTGTCTGCTCCAAGGACAACACGAACAAGCATAGTATGTCCGATGAGTACAAGTTCTTTGAAACTGTTGGTGAACAGAGTGAAATGATAAAAGAGTGTCCCATCATTAAGCCGTTTCAACAGACCATGTGCGAGAATGGTAAGGAGACACTGATGCCTGGAAGCATTGTGAGCAATATGTCACGGTGTCTGGATGTGAAGGAAACGGTGGAAATCGATGAAAATGGAAAGAAAGTGAAGGTTCAAGGCATTTGTGCAAAAGTGAAGTGTGATAATGGCAAGGTGCATGTACAGTACAAAGGGGACAAAGAGAAAGTGAACGGGGAACAAAAATGGCACGAGTGCACCGAGGAGGGCACTATTAATCTGCAGGGTTCAGTGTTCACGAGTGGAACTATTGTGTGCCCCAAATACGCTGAAGTGTGCACCGGGCTACCGGAAACCGAACCTTTTAATATTTCATATACAGAAGTTAATGTTCCTGAGGATAAGGTGGAAGAGGAGGAAACGCCTGGGGAGGAAGAAGAGGAGAAGCCTGGGGATGAAACCGAAGAACAAAGCAGCTCGAGCGCAGAGTCAGAGATGAACAGTGGCACGGGAGATCAGGACCAGACCCAAAAACCTGGTGATAATGAGGACGGTGCCACTGACAACAGCATCGCTCTCTCGTTCTTTGGACCTCTTATGCTTCCTGTGTGTATTGTTGCTGCGGTGGTGGCCCTGTGAGAGCCCCACATGCATATTCTAACTTATATAGCGCTATAATTTTTTCTTCTTTTTCAATTTATATACGCATAAACAATAATTGTTTCCCTTCTCTTTTTTTTTTTTTTCTGACTGGGCTCGAGGCGGTCTTCACTTTATTTGTGAAAGACTGCATAACTATTAATCTTTTCGGACTATATATATGTATATGTGTCTGTATCTATATATGGTTGTATATACACACTCCGTGTTTTTTTTTTCTGGGAATATTAATTCTTATACGCTACTTATGTATACTGTGCTGCTTCACGGTACTCTTACTCGGGTGTACAAATGTACACACATACCGAGTGTAAGAGGAACTGGAAAGTGCATGCATGCGTCTTTTTTTTTAATTGATTGAGGGATTTTTCTAAATGATCCATTTCTCTGTAAATGGATTGGATGAGTGAATGCACGTTGGAGTACATGGATTACCTTTTCTGTGAGTATTGATACCTCTTGTGCTAGTGTTTTTTTTTTTGTGTTGTTTATTATATGTATTGTTTTTTTTTTTCTTTTTTGTGTTTCTCGTTGTTTTTCCCAAGTCTCTCAAGAATTCTATGCGATAGACACACTGAGAATGACATTATGGCGCACATTACCACTGTTTACGTCCTTTAGCTGTTGTGATTGGATTTGACTGCAGTAGGTGCTGCTGCTCTTGTTAATGTGTGTAGCCCTTGATATTGCATTTATTGTGGTGTTGCTGTTATTGTTTCTGAGAGTATTACTATCGATGTATACATGTGTTTGATTCTCTGCTGGATCTAATATAGTAGTATATTTCTGTTGGCATTCCGTATTTTGTTTTGCTATTTGTTGCGTATGCTTTAACAGTGCATCCACTCATCCATTGACGTCTAATTACAGCAGTAGTATACTATCGTATGGATGTTACTGGTCTCATTTTGATTCCAGTTGTGTTGGGTTTATTACTTGAAGCTTGTAAAAGGGAATATGCACCCTTAAGTGCTTTGGGGTATTAATGGTTAGAGGGTTGCGATAATTTATTATTTTGCATTTAATCGTTTCCCTTGTTATGCGTTAAGCGCAACGGAATAGACGCTTATGAAATATGTAAATATTTGGTTTTTCCTTTTGCCATCTTTTTATTATTTGAAAGTACAATTTTGGATTTGTATTCCCATGATCAGTGAAATGATTTGGGTTTGTATTTTTTGAAAGGGGTGGGGTAAATCTAGATCGGTCCACAAAGGTTGTTTTTACCATTATGTTGATAGTGATATATATATTTTTTTTCCCATTTGTGAGACCTTTGTTCATAATTTAATATTCTTCGCTGTTATTGTTTGTAGGATACTGTGCAATGGATGTCATAATTTAATTTATTGCATGCCTGTTTGGGTTATGAATTTGCAAACGGATGATTGCCCACAACTCAGAGCAGAATTTTCATGTCTGTTCCCTTTTCTTGTGTTAAACATATTGTGTGTGTGTGTGTGTGTGTGTG